CCAGGTATTCTTTACATTATTGATGTTGTTATTGAAAAAAGATGCGTAGTACAATTTTTTAGAATACCTTAACAAATTGCTAATTTTATTTCTGTATAACTTAAATTTAGTAAATAATATATTTTTTGCATTCACATTTTTTGATCTAGTAAATTTTTTATAGATTATGTTTTTATTAGAAATTGATTTAAGAATACCAGAAGTTATCCAGGGTCTAGATTGAAGTTTAATTTGTTTTTTTTGTTAGCTCTTTGTAAGGAGCATATCGGTCTAATAGTTTTTCGAATGTTTTAAGAAAAAAATTTATAGATTCGTTTATGTTATCATCGTCTTTTATGAGAAGCTCCCAGTTAATATCGGAAATTTCTTTGATAAAAGAATCAGAATCAAATTTTTTAAAGCTTCTTTTAAACATTTTTACTTTTTTTTTAATGGGTGGGTTATTAGGAATACAGACGAATTGTGCCATGTGGTCAGAGATTGAAATTGTAAGATTACCAGAGACTATATCAGTAGGAAATGAATTCATGAAGATGTTATCAATAAGGGTTTTAGTTTTTGCAGTTACACGTGTTGGAAGAATTATGGTTGAAAATAAGGAATGAGAGCACAAAGATTCAAAATAATTAGAAATGACTTGTGATTCTCTATAGTTCAATAAATCTATGTTGAAATCGCCCATTAGTACAATATTTTTTGCTTCATGACTTAACTTTTCAAGGAGAGGATTAAAATGGATAGATAAAAATTTAGTGATGTTTAAAGAGGGATGCCGATATATACATCCAAAAATGGTATTACTTTTAAGTGGATATATAACTTCAACAAATGTAGACTCTAGAAATTTGGAGGCATAAATTTGGAGATCACTACGAACTATGTAATTAAGATTTGAATTTAGTTAAAGAAGTGCACCACCTTTTTTTGATTCTGTTGGACAGTGCTCAATGTTATATCCTTGTATGGTAATGTCAGTTGTATTAGAATCATTTGCGTATAAGTTAGACTCAGTAATTCCTGTTACCATGGGAGGAGTATTAATGGTACCAACAAAGCTGGAGATATCATTTATGTGAAATGGAAGAGAAGAAATATTTAAATTTTTGAAAGAAAATTTTAAATTTCTGTACCAGGATTAATAGATTTATTTAGTTCATTAACGTCAAGGTATTTGTATTTAGTTGTTGGATTAAAAACATTGTTCATGGTTTTAAATAAGTTTTTGAGATAATCAGGGGGTTCATGAAATTTTATTTTTTTAGAAGGATTCTTGCAGGAAAGAGTTGATTTAAGTTCCAGATCGGAGAGTACGCCAAATGGCATATTGTTTGATATGCAGTTAGGGCAAAACCATTCAGAAGAGTCATTGGAAAGCAGATTGTAAGCATGTTTGTCAACTGGAATACATTTTGCATGAATCCAAAAGGAGCAACAATCGCATTGGATGGCTCTGTGATTATCTTTTATTTTTTTATTGCAAAACTTGCAATGGTGACAAATTTTCATGATATAGATGGTAAAGCCGTTTATAGAACAGAAAATATAGAAAATTAAAAGAGAAAATAATCAAACAATAAACAGTAAATGAATAAATAGCAACAGTAATCAGTAGTAGTACGTAGTTAATTATTATCAAAATTATAAATAAAGAGTATAGGTTTATAATATTAATTAATAACTAAGATAAAATAATAAACAATAGATAAAATTAAAATAATATAAATCCATAATAAATAAATGTATAAGAATATATAATAATGATAAAGTTATAATAATGATCAAAAAATATAATAAAATTATACATAGTAAAATAATTTAAATCTAATAAAATATATAACAAAACTTCCTAAATAGATAATCTAATGATAAATAAATAAATAATATGTGATAATACAACTTAGATAGATAACGGGAAAACCTTATTAACTAGAACTAATGAATATAATTAATTATAAATAAATAATTAAAAAATATGTGAAAAAGCGAAAAAAAAAATAATTTCTTCTTTTTTACTTCTTCTTCTTTGTTTACTTTCTCTTTCTTTCTTTCTTTTTTTTTTTTTTTTTTCCTTCGTTCTTTTCTTTGTTTAAAGTGTTCTTTTTTTTTAATAATTCAAAGTTCTTTTTTTTATTTGATTTTTTTTTTTAAGCGTTTGATTTAAATCAGATTTTTAACTATTTTACAAAAACTTTTTAGCAAATTGAAAATGAAAAACTAACTGTTTATCTTATCCTTTTTCTTTTATTTATTTTTTACCGTTAGAAAAATACGTCCGCCATTTGCGATGACCTACAACTGACGATTTCTACGTGCAACCACAGACACAAAAAACGCAATGCCTGCCAGGTTAGTGCTTATTATAAAAACAATAGATAAATCATAAAAGATTCACATAACAAATGTTCTCAATGTAGATAAAGCTAGAGGTAAAAAAAAATGTAAAGAACAAAAAATATGTAGTTTTTGCCAACAAATTTATACATAGTTGTTTTAAAAAAAAAAAGTTTTCAAACTTACCAACTATAGCAGATGGTGACGAAGCTAAAGGTAAAAAAAATAACCAAAATAATCATGATTTTGACATTAACTCTATACAGATCTGAAAAAATTTGCCACTGGCAGATGTTGATAAAACTAAAAGAAAAATAAGGTGTCATCAAATAAAATAAAAAAAGGTATTAAACTTATAGTATAGCTTTAAAGAATGAGTAGAAGCACCAAATAAAAAAATACTTATTTAACTTACCAACTGGACCAGATGACGATGAATCTAAAGTTAAAAAAGGTGTAATATAAAAAAAAATACACATTTTTGGCAACAAATCCAATAAAACAATTTTGTAATGAACAAAGAAAAGTACTGTGTAAATAATAAATAAAATAAAGGCGTAAATAACAAAAATTAGGTGTTACTTAAAAAAAAGTCTTTAATAAGCTTTATCTAGTCAATGATTTTTAAAAGTTTAACAAAAAAATACTTGTAAAAGTACTAAACAATAGTATTATTATGAAAAACATATAAACTTACTATCTGTTTGATTACCCAGTTCATTTATATCATTCATTTTTTAAATTACTAACAATCTAAGTGAAACAATATGCAATAAATATTTTTAAAGAAAAAAAAACCCTCTCCCCCTAGCCCCACCTCGGCTATTTTTGGTAACAGAAATTAGGTACCAAAAGTGTTTAACTGATTTAACTAACTTTTTTTTTTTTTTTTTTTTTTTTTTTAAGTTAATTAAGGTGCCTCAAGAAGTCCTTACGGTCTTATCACAGAGCACCGCGGAAGAGCATTTAATAGGAAGTTCACGACTCCTTCCCAACCGATGTCAGAAAACTTGCCCAGAGGTGGGGTTTAAACCACGGATTTTACGCTTCTTAGGCAAGTGCGCCACGGCTGCTTATAGCTACATAATATTAATTGCTACATAATATTTTTTCATGAAATTTGGCAGGTGCAAAGGAAATGCATGTAGAAACTTATTTAAAAAATCAAAAAAGCGGAATATAGATTCCTTCAACAATAATTTAACAAGTAAACATCAACATAATTTTCACAAGCAAAATAGTAAAAAAAAAAAAGGTAAAAAAAACTCAGCAAAAAATCGTTTGCCTAACCCTACTTAAAAAAATGAGACGGGAAATACGCTAAAAAAAAAAATCGGAAAAACAGAAATTACGTACCAAAAGTGCTAAACTGATTTAACTATCTGCTACATAATATTTTTCGATAAAATTTATCGAAATTTTTTGGATTGGCTTGGCTATTCCAATAAGTCAACTTTCTAGCCATACGTTTAGAAATTTTCGTAGGATGCCCTGAATGAGGCATACTAGTCATAAAATGGAACGATTTCCACCTCCGAACCGTATCACCAAATGTCGAAATTGGGATATTTAACACAGATGAAATTTTTCTATATCCCGAACCATCTTTGTGCCGCTAAATAACTGATTTTCTTGTTGTTTCAGACAATTCTGCAGTTTTAGGCATTGTTGAAGAGCACAAATTTTAGACCACCTTCTAATCATGACGTTTGATAGTGAATGACTGCAGTTATATAGATTTCAATGACGTAATTTTGCATTCTAAAATGTTACTTCTGGTTCTAGAATATTCCCTTGAACACAACGGATAACAAATTATTGGCTAATTAAATTCTTTATTTACGATATGTTGGATACTTTTTGAACCTTAAATTTTACAATATTGCAATTATCAAGTCAACATTTAATATTGTTTTTTTGATATGATATTTGTATTTCTTATGTAAAATTACATTAGAATAGTGTTTATTTATGTTATTTTGTTGAATGGCCATTCAACAAAATAACATAAATAAACATTTTTTTATTTTAATTAACATTAATTTAATTAAAGCCCATATGGGCTTTAATTAAATAAAGTTTTTCCTATGTCTCGGATACTTTTTGCACCCACTGTATTGTTATTTTCGCAAAAGAAAAAACACTGATCAAGTATGCATGGACAATTAGAGCAAGAGTTCTAATTGTCCATGCGCACTTGATCTATTTAAAAAGGTAATTACATTTTGAAAAATGTAATTATTTTTATTTAAAAAAAGTCCTGGTATCTATTAGCATTTAATAACAGTTAGAATCTAAGATGAAAATTGTAATAAAAATGAAGTTAAAAAATGGTTTTAATTGCTATTTTGTTCAACATAAATATAAAAAACAAAAAAACAATTTAAAACATTTTTAACTTCATTTTTATTAGAATTTTTATCTTAGGTTCTAACTGTTATCAAATGCTGATAGAAACCAGGACTTTTTTTACCTTGGGTACCTGTTACTAGTCAAAGCCACCATGATCTAAAGTACATAGTTGACCATTGTTTCTACTTGTGTTAGGAGTATGCGCTAATATATTTTCAGCCTTTATAAAATAACGTAGGTCTGGTGGCCACAGACCTACGTTATTTTATAAAGACTCATTATAATATATTGATGTAAAAAAACGTGTAGCTTCAAACGTCTAACAACTTCACTTAATTTTGCCGGAGCCGACTAGTTTCTCGAATTTTCGGGAAAGAAAAATCAAACTTTTATTAAATGAATTTTTAGCTGAGTAAGCATTCAATCGTATATATACTACCGTTCAGCTCGTGGGTTGTTTAACGTTGTGAAACAAGTAAATTGGGACAAGTGTTTTCAAAGTATTTCAGTGAATATAAAATTCTAACAAGGAAAGCAAAAAATGTCTGATAAGGTTAGTATACAATATTTAGCTTTATGTCAATTAAGACGCTTTAGCTACGTTTGCGTTCTTCCTGGTTTCTAAGTTAATTTTTGTTTTCATTGTGAAAATATTAATGCCTAGAAATTCATTTTATTTTACTTTGATAGTTTATAGTTCTAATTATTTGTGAAATAACGTCTTTTTTAATTTGAAGAATCCATTTTTCAGTCTTTATTTTTTTCCTAGCATGGCATGCCCATTTTAATGCCTGTTTAACTCCAACGTGAAACAGAATTTTTTTTTTTTTTTACTTTCTTTTTTAAAGAAATAAGGTTTATTTTGCGAGGTGGCATAGACATAGTTAATGCTAATGTGGTTTTTCTAGTCCCTTATCATAACTGGTTATAAATGAGGACAAAACAAATTAAATCAAAAGAAAAGAGTGAAAGTCTTTCAAAACTAAAGTTCAAGTTTGAAAATTGCTCATTATGATTAATAAAAAGCTTTTTTAGTTTCACATTCTAGTTTATATTGCATTTCTTAGAATTATTCTGGGTTTTTTTTTGGCATTAACTTATGTTTGGATCATCATGCAAAAATATATTTGTTAAATACAATCGAACAAAAATATATGGTAAAAACTCTATAAAGCATCAATGCACCAATAAGTGGAGCAATCTCCCCCACTACATAAAAACTGAAAAACTAATTTCAAGATCTAACTTATGTAAAATTAAACAAAGCTATCTTGACAACTATACACAAAATAAATGAGTATTATTACCATACACAATGTTTATACTAGATTTAACTAAAATTTCTCTATTTATTTCTATATTAGTATTTATTAATATATTTATTGGCATTTGTATTAAATATTTAGTTAGTATTAGTTGTTTTTTTTAATTAGTATTAGTTTTTTTTTTTCTTTATTCTATTATTTTCAACTATAATTCAATAATTTTCTCCTTACTCAGTAATACTTCTTTTTATTCTACCATTATATTATTAACTTTTATAATTTTTTATTTTAATCAGCTACTATTATTTTTATTATTATCTATTGTTAGTATTATTACGTACTTATTTTTATTAGTTTTAGTATTATTAAGTTTTTTTTTTTTTTTTTTATTTACAAGGTTTTTTTGTTTTGTTTTGTTTTGTTCCTTCACAAAAATGTTATTGTAGAATTTATATTGTAAACAATATCTATTTTTGAGAAAATATATTGATTGGTTGGACTATCTTTAAATTTATTAATTGTAATCGCTAATTCTAAAAGATAATTTTTTTCAAAGCAAAGAAAATTTTATTAAATGTAAAGCTCTATAAATTGATAATACTTTTAAACAATAATTAAGTGTTGATATTATCTAAAAATATTTATTTATTATCAAATAAATCAAAGAGGTCTAAGTACTCACTTAAGTACTAATATTTTATAGTACTAATATTTTAATTACTAATATTTAGTAATAATAATAAGTATATAGTAATAATAAAGTATATAGTAATAATAAAAAAGTAAATAGTAATAATAGTGCTAATATAATCTAAGCACTAATATTTTATAGTAAGTACCAATATTATATAGTAAATATTTTTTTTTTCAAAAGCAATTAAACTGAATTAGTGAACTTGTACAGTTAGCAAACTGTTGCTACAAATTAGTTATTAAATTAGCTAATAATAAGAATAGGTATCTTTAGAAGATATTTCAGAGTAAACTCTAAAAGCCAATGCAATTTCTTTGATATTTTCTTTGTTTTTTCCTTCCTCTCTTGGATGACAGTGCTTGCCTTAAAGAAATTCCACAATTCATCATGGCACTGTTGTTAAAGTTAAATGTATTAACATTTAAGTTTTTTTCATTTTATGCTGAAGTCATTGTATGTTGACTTATAATTACTTTTTTTTTTTTTTTAATATAACTATTTCTTTATAACACTTTTCTTTTTTCATTAATATTTGGACTACTTACCTCAGATTAACAGTAGTAAAGTGTAGGACAATAGTTAATTTAGGACACAGTGGAAAAAAGGTTTTCAACTGAAATTATACTGGGTCATTCCTTGTCAAAACAGCATGCTCATGTTGTCCCGTGTTTTTGATTTAGCTAATTAATTTTATCAGTGCTCATAATAATGACTGGTCAGCAAGAAAGATGCAATAAGTTTCTAATTGCATCTTTCTTTCATAAAGAAAAGACCCGTTAGAAAAACTTCTTGTTTGTTTTTAATGAGAAATCAGTATCACCAGCTAAAAAATTTTACTTTTTCTTAGTGGGTGTTGGTTAAAAATAAAGATTTAAAAAAAAAAAAAAAAGTGAAAAGTAAAACTTCTTTTTTTTAGCAGGTAGTTTTTAGGCTTTTACGGGGTTATTCATTCTTATATTTGCGTCTATTCATTTTTGTATGCGCCTTTATTCATTCTTATATGTGCATTTATTCATTTATATATGTGCTTTTATTCGTTCTTATATGCGCATTTATTCATTTTTATATGCGCATTTATTCATGTTTATATTATTTATTCATTTTTATATGTGCTTTTATTCGTTCTTATATGCGCATTTATTCATTTTTATATGCGCCTTTATTCATTTTTATATGCGTTTTACAAAAGCAATTGTAAAAAAGGAATTTAAACAAAAAAAATCATTTAAGCAATTTGTTTTGAAAAAACAGTTTATTTTTTCAAAACAAATTTTTCCAGGTAAACGAGGTTAAAAATGAGAAATCAGTATCACCAGCTAAAAAATTTATCAGAAAACGACATGACTGCATCCAAGTCGTTTTCTGATAAAAAATGAGGTAAAAGACCTATAAACTCAAATAAAAAATATTATCGAATTATGAGTACAAAAAAACAATCTTTGCACGCAAGAAGCAATAAAAAAAATCTTTCTGCAGCAGGCTTCAACATGTCTCAGCCTGCTATTTCAAGAAAACTCAAATGCTCGGATTTATCAGGAAAATGTGTTGTGCATGTGCCGAAGAACGAAACTCAACACCAGTTATTAATGCAAGCTATGCATTTGCAAGCAATTTCAGATGAAAAACTTATTTATTTGGATGAAATTGGATTTAATGTGCACATATGGTTGTTTGCTAAGAGGTACGCCAGCAATTTTACAGTCACCTGCAAATCGTGGTAAAAATATTAGTTTAATTTGTGCTGTTTGAACAATGGGAGTGCTTGCTTATGAAATAAAAACTGGAGGCTGGAATGCAGATCAATTTTGTACTTTCATAACTACAATGATGGAACCAGCGATTAGGAATGCAAAGATTGAAGCGTTGGTGCTTGTTATGGACAATTGTAAATTCTACTGGAGTCTTTATTAGGCAAACACTAGCCTCTCATGGTATAGCTATTAAATATCATATTACATGGTATAGCTATTAAGTATTGATATTAATAATAATTATAAATAATTAAATTTAAATCTAGATAAATGAATAATTAGATAAATAATAACTTTTTATAATAATTTAATAATAAAATTACTAAGAACTAATACTAAATTAAATAAACTATCATCGAAAACAAAGAGCTATACTAAATTGAATAAACCATCATCGAATGTAAAAAGTCTTCGTTTTAAGTATTTTTAACCTCGTTTACCTGGAAATAAGAAAAATTTGTTTTGAAAAAATAAACTGTTTTTTTCAAAACAAATTGCTTAAATGATTTTTTTTTTTTTTTTTATTGTTCAAATTGCTTTTTTCAATTGCTTTTGTAAAATGCATATAAGAATGAATAAAGGCGCATATAAGAATGAATAAAGACGCATATAAAAATGAATAAATGCGCATATAAAAATGAATAAAAGCGCATATAAAAATGAATAGATGCGCATATAAGAATGAATAAACCCTGTAAGTGAGAAAATTTATTGGAAGGTAAAAGCAAAATATAAAAATTTATTTTGTGTTTACCAAAGATTATTCCTAATTTTTATTTTTTTTTTAAATTGTATTAAACTCAAAAAGCTTAATGCATAGGGTGATATAGTTACAAAATCTAGGTGAAAATTGCTAAAATTGATTGAACTAGGTTGTCTGCTCAATATTTTTTTATTTTAGCTGATCAGTGTTGATCAGTGCAACTTTTAAATAATTATTTCAGCGCTGTTTTGTTGGGGTCATAAAAACTACAAAAATCTTGTGGTTCTTGAAATCTTCAGGCTTTTTTTTTTATTTATGTTGACTGTGATACTTATTTGATAAAAAGAATGAGATATTGACCTGAAGTTTGGTACATAGTTTTTCACATAGTGGATTTAAATTTCATTTATTTTTAAAGAGCAGCTCAGCTTTATGTTAATTGAATAATAAAGGCATTTATTTATATTTTACTTAGATGGTTGAAATGATGTCACCTTTATTTTATTTTTTGGTCATTTTACAACTCAACATATGGGTATTAACATTACTTTTGAAAGTTTCTGATGTCTTTTTGAGGTCAATAATAACTAGATTCTAACTTTTTTTTTTTTTTTTTATTTTACCTGGGGTTTATTGATGCTAAAAGATGAAAAAATTGATGAAGGTATTTTTAAGTTTTAATCTTTATAATAATATTTTTAATAGCATATCAAAACTATGTGGTCTATTAACATTTTCATGGTATAGTTATCCCAGTAAAACTAAGCTTATTTTTGTAAAATTACTACAATTTATTCTGAGGCTTTAAAATTTAAATAATAAATTTTTTAATTAAGTTTATTTTACATAGAACAGCATAAGTTTATTATGTACACCTTTGGCTGTGTTATTTTTTTTTTTTTTTAACATTACTTTTAAAAGTTTCTGATGTCTTTTTGAGGTCAATAATAACTTTATTCTAATTTTTTTTTTTACCTGGGGTTTTTTGATGCTAAAGGATGAAAAAATTTGATAGAGAAAGTTTCAATTGATAATAAATTTATGTTAATATATATGTTATTAAAGTTTTTAGTTTAATTTTAAAACAATTACAGTAGAATCCTGTTAACTTGGACTCTAAAGAGGTATACATATTGTATGACTTTAAGAATATCAGAATTAAGCAAAGCTCTTTATACGTTGAGCTATATAATCTTTGTCAAAGTCTTTAATGAATAAAGTTTAATTAAATATTATCCAAATTGGAAATATCAGTGAAAATAATTAGTTAGTTAAATTGTATTTGACGCAACCCAGTGGGCACAAGACATGTTTTAAATGTCTAAAATATAATTTTAAAAAAAAAACGTAAAAATACGTTTTAATACGTGTTTTAGTGGTTTAAAACACGTCTCAAAATGGTCATTAATAAATAGAATTTAATTGAAGTTTAACTGTATCAAAGTTCAACTGTATCAGTGAAAGTGGTTAGTTATGTTTAATTATATTTGATGCAAAGGAAACTTATTTTTGAGCATTCCAAGTTAGGAATTGTAAAGTGTTAAAAGTTTTGTTAAAAATTAAAAACTAAAATATTGCACTACATTACACTAATTACACTAATCTGAAATTCAAAAGTCCGAGTTAAGCCAAGTTTTTTGCAGAAAGGTCCCTAAAAAACGCTACAAGTTAGCAAATGGTCTAACAAATATAACTCTCAAATTAAATTAACATTTAATTGAGAGTTACATTTGATTTATAAGTAAATTTTAGATAAGATTTATATAAGATATTTAGAAAATTTTTAATAAGATTTATATAAGTAGTTGCCAATTTTTTAAATATTTGATCACCGCTAAATAACATTAAACTGTCGTGATTGGTGGTTGTTTTATTTTTAATATTGCATTGTACTTTATGTTTTGTTTTTCTAGTTTTATCTCATGATTTATCAAATGAATCAAGTTATTGAAGTTTAAATCATAATTATTAATAATAGCAATAACTATAATAATATGGTTGTGTAATGAAATTATTTATCTTCTTTTTTTTTTTTTTTTTTATAATAACAGCTAGTAATGTGAAATTCAACAATTTCACTTTTCATTCAAGAAAAAGGAAATTTTTTTAATAATCCATGTTTTTCTGGGAAATATTTAAAATTTAATCACTTTTTTAAGTTTTTACATGGTAATTATATTACTAATAATTAATTTCGACCTAACTTCCTTACACTTTCCTATCACTTTCCATTAGACAGTCATTTTTAAAATTTTATCTATTTTATCAATTTCCAGCCACCTGGAGCTTATTAAGACCTGTCCCAGTTCATTAATTTCAAAGAAAGAAAAATTTTTAATGTCAAATTAAGGACTACTGTTTGTTAAATGAGCTGGCTTGATTATTTAAAAATGTTTAAACATAACTATTTTACTTATAACTGAGCTATTTGCGCACAGCTAAAAATGTTTTATTGTTTTAATTATTTAAAATAAATATATTTATTACTGTTTATGAATAATTTTTTTTTTTTCAATTATACAATTAAATATGATTTAATTATATATATATTAAAAAGTTCTTATTTTGACACCAAAAATTATAAAATAAATAAAATTTGATACTAACAAAGTTTAAAAATACAATCATTTTTTGTTTTTGTTTGTTAATTCACCTCCTCAAGGCCGAGAAGGCCACTACAAACAAGGATGCTACTTATTTGTGGTTGTATAACCCTCTCTCAACTCTATAACTCTGAAACACGAACCTTGACAAACAAGGCTGCTGCGTGGAGAAACAAGTTGCGCGCGGTACTACCAGGGATGTGGCGGGGGTGGAACTCAGAACCTCTCGCTTATGAAGTGAGCGCTCTACCACTACCGCATATCCTCTTTTTAAATCGAATTCAAAATAGATATACTTCAGATGCCAAACGATCTGCGATCTCATTTTATATAATTTATTACAGTACTTTCCAATGGAAAGTAAGGTCAAATTTAATTAATAGTAATACTATATACTAGCAGTAAGCAACCCGTAATACGCGTTGTTAGTAAATAAAATTAAAAAAAAAACCGCGTATAGAAAAGCCTAGAAACTACTTTAAAATAAAAAAGCCTAGAAAATGACGTAACTCGACTAATAGCAGATTTAATGTCATCTAAAAATCAAAAGAGAGTGATTAATTTTTAAATACTTTCCACTTTCCGGAAATTACAAATAGATTAAATTCAATCCATTTCCATTTACCACAACATTAAAATTACTATTATTTTTCTTTTTTACATTAATAAGTATAGTTCAATAAGTATTTTCTAATATAAATACATTTAATTTACAAACACTTTCCAAATCAAAAATAACTACTTTCTGAAACTGGTTAGAAAGCGAAATCGAACATTCCTAATAACAGCTATTAAACTTTGTGGTAAAAAAAGTGTTTACAGTTTTTTAAAAATTGAAAAATTTTGATTTATTAAATATAGCAATTTTAGGTTGCTTAATTCTTCCCTTAATATATACATATACTCAGCCCGCAAAACTCAAAGAATTCGATTTGATCAATTTGATCCAAATTAAAACCAATTTGATCAATTGGTTATAAAATCTAATGGTTCTGTTAGGCATTATGACATATTTAGAGTTTTCTTTATGTAACAACTTGTTAGCATTTCATATTTTTAATTGTTTTAATAAAAATTTTTAGCTTGTATTTTTTTAAAATTTAAAAAAAGTGTAATACATTTCTTGATATGTTTTTAAATAACTTGTTTATTTTCTGCATTTGTTAATCATAATGTAGCTATATTAAAAATAATAAAATTTTAAAACTTAACAACATATAATAATGGCGCTAAAATTTAGACTAATTACAGACACTTTAAACTCAATTTTATTAACTTTTGAATGACCTTGCAATTCTTGTTATAAATGAAGTTTTTGTTTTGTTATAAATGATTTATAACAAAACAAAAACTTTATTTATAACAAGAATTGCAAGGTCATTCAAAAGTTAATAAAATTGAGTTTAAAGTGTCTGTAATTAGTCTAAATTTTAGCGCCATTATTATATGTTGTTAAGTTTAATGTTTTGTTATAAATGAAGTTTTATTAACTGAATGACCTTGCAATTCTTGTTATAAATGAATCAAAAATTAAAAATTTTTTTTTTTTTTTTTTTTTTTTTAATTAAAACTTGTCTAACTTATAAAACAGATTTTTTTTTACTGAAGACGATTAAAACTATATTTTTTTTATTCAATAGATTTTGGGCTCATTTTTTAGTATAAAGAATTTTTTGAAATCTCAACAGATAATTAGATAAAAATAATATCTAATTATAGTAGCCAATGCTAGTTATGCTGGTTTGCTATCCCCAACAATATATTTTTTACATTTTACAGAATGCACTATTTCAATAAATAATAATTTAGAGATTCAGGTTGGCAGTAGTATGCGGTAGTACAAAAAAAAAGTCCATGATTTCTGAATTTTGGTGCTGCCTAAATATGGTTACAGGTTTATTTACCTGCCACACATATGTAATATATACATATGTGTGCAGGTTAATAAACCTGCACACATGTATATACTACATTACAAATTTTTTTTTTTAATTTAAGGCTAATGAGTTCAAAGATAAGGGCAACAAAGCCCTGCAGGATGGTAACTTAGAAGATGCTATTGCATTTTATTCAAAGGCTATTGAGCTTGATAGTTCGAATTATGTTTTCTACAGCAACAGATCAGCAGCATATGCAAAAAAAGGTGATTACAACAATGCATTGGCTGATGCAAAGAAAACTGTGGAAATCAAACCTGATTGGGGAAAGGTAGGTTATATTACTAATGGTTATTTCTTCTTTTTTTCTTTTAATGTAGATTAGTTAAATATTATTTTAGTACAAATTCTCATGTATTTCATGGTGCTTTATAATTATCTTTTATACTAGGGTTACTCACGTCTAGGTGCTGCATACAGTTACCTTGGACAAGATATGGAAGCATATGAAGCTTATGAGAAAGGTCTTAAATATGAACCTGATAATGCACAATTAAAAACAGCCATGCAAGAACTAGATAACAAAATGAGTATGTTTTAATACTAAACTTTATACAATTTTGTTAATAAAACAAAATAAAATTTTTAACTTTATTAAATAAAAAAATCTTTTGTATCAAAAGGAAATGGACATAGATTAGGATATTAGTCTTACATTACCACAGAATTTTTTTTTCTATTTTCTTGTATTATCACAATCTAATTTAAAAAGTTTTATTGTATTTTTTAGTAGGCTAAAGCCTGTTAAGAAATAACAAGAAATATGTTCTAGGATATATTAATGATCATTTGAATACATGTGATGTTATTGTCCAATTAGATCAATGTGTAGCACTTGATTAAATAACCTTGTCAATAACTTATACATACAGTACTAAAGATTTCTTATGGACATTTTTCTGCTTTAATAGACACTAAAGTTTCTTGTACACTTGCAGTCCCTATCTTTTGTTTTATAAGTCAAGCTAACTTTTGACATACTATTTAAATGTTTACTTGCTTCCTTTAAGGTCGGCAGAATAATCCATTTGCAGATCCAAGCCTTGAAGCAAAGCTGGCAATGAATCCTAAAACAAGAGAGTATTTAAATGATCCATCTTTTCTGCAAATGCTTCAAGTTTTAAAATCTGATCCATCCAAATTAAGCATGTGAGTAATGTTATTCTATACTAAGCTTAGTTTCTTTTTAATTATTTCAAAAAGTTTTATCAAATATTAGGGTGAAAAATATTATATAAATTAAGTTTTCTCAAAATAAACTAAAAGTCAACTAGTACAATTAATTTCTATCATTTGAGAATAAAATAATTGAAATCAAATTAGTTAATTCTAATATTTTGTTTCAAAAACAGGTTTGCAAAAGACCAGAGAGTGATGCAAGTACTAAGTGTTTTACTTGGAATACAAATGGATTTTCCCCAACAGTCAGGTAATTATTTTTTGTAAACAATAATGCATAATTTGTTTAAAACATTAATGTAGATTGTTGAGTGATTATTTAAGTTTTAAACGTTAATCATCTTCAAACTCAGTACGATTCATGATCTCTAAAGATTTAAATGTACCTACATATACTACCTCATAAATCCATTAAAAAGAAAGTTTTAAAAAACTTAAAATACAAATTCAAACTGCTTTTTATACTAAAACTGATTTTGGCTAAATGAGTCATCTTTCTTTTTCTAAAGTTGTTTAGTAATAGATTTAAAATTTTTTTCTTTAAAAAATTATCATAATTTAGCCAACAATAAAGCTCTAAATCTGTCACCTGAGAGTTCATGAATCTTACTGAGTTAATGGTACGCTAATGCACCTATCCGCCAATTTATGTTTTCGTAAAGTGTACGCATTTTTCCTTCAGAAAACAAGCCAAAACCACAAGAAACTAAAGTAAAAACAGAAACTACCAAGCCTCCTGAAGATAAACGTACAGACACTCAGCGCCAGGTTTTTTTTTTGTTTTTAAATATAAGCAGTGAGAGGTTTATGGGAATATTTATTACACTTGAATTTAAATTAAGCAATTTTTTTTAAGAAGCAATTTTATTTAAGAAGTTTTCTATAATTATTAGGCAGATAGTGAGAAAGAACTTGGTAATGATGCATACAAGAAACGCGACTTTGTTACTGCTCACATTCATTACGACAATGCTATTAATTTGGAACCTACTAATATTTTATATCTTAATAACAAAGCTGCAGTTTTTTTTGAAGAAGAAAAATATGAAGAATGCATACAGTTATGTTTGAAGGCTGTAGATGTTGGAAGACAAAATCGTGCTCCTTATGCTCTAATTGCTAAGTAAACATTTATCTGTATAACTTTATAACAGACCTTGAGTTATGACAAAAAAAGTTGCAAATTATACTTTATAACAAGTAATATGTATATTACATAAATACTTGTTATATAGAAATATTTGTTACTTTTAAAGTAATTTATAAGTCAAAATACTCACAAACATGTTGCATATGCTGGGGTTTGCAAACATGTTTTGCGTGTGTTTGTAATCCACAGGTATCATAAGTACACTTTTATTTGCTTTTTTTTAGACTATTTCTCTAAATATTAGGAAATCAGTGATGTCTTTTTACCTTTCAAAATCTATTTAATTTTATTATCTGAAAAGTTCAGATCAGTCAGTTGATTCAGATCTGTCTGACCTGAACCAACTCTTGAGTTTGTTGTTTAAATGTGCCAAGAATAGTTTACCATAAGTAAACTATTCTTGATACATTTACCATAAACACCACTTGAAATATTAATGGTTTCACCTTTACAGAAATGTAGTATTATATTATAATAAATTTCTGTAAGGAATGTGAAACCACTGATAAAAGCATGCAACATTTAAATTTGACCTCAAAAAATGTGTTAAACTTCAGTAAAACTGCATGTAATATATTATTGTACTATGCACTACTTTCCATTTTTTGTTTGTAAATTGTTTCAGTGAATTGGTAGAAATCTTTTGTATTAAAAAACATTTTCAAACACTCATAAATGTGTGTATGTGCTTTTTGGGTCAAAATATAAAACTAATAATTTTTATTAATTATATAATTTTAGAGAAAAAATCTTTTAGGAATTCCCTTCCTCTCAAGCTAAAATTACTGCATTTTAAATATATAATCTATAGTTTTAATGTTTCTATGATAAGTTGTTGTTCTTTCATTACAGTCTTACCAAAAGTCTTTCTGATCTTATAATTTATGAAATATTTTTTATAGACCATTAGCAAGAATTGGTACTACCTATCAAAAAATGAAAGATTATTCGAATGCTGTTAAGTATTTTGAAATGTCATTAACAGAAGCTCATAATGAAGAAGTCAAGAAAAAGTTAACAAATCTTAAAAAGATTATTAAAGAAGAAGAAGAAAAAAAATATCGTGATCCAGTTAAAGCTGAAGAAGCCAGAGAACTAGGAAATCAGTTATTTAAAAAAGGTTAATAAATCTTTTGAAGATTTATCATTTATATATTACTTAATATTTTTCATATATTTGTTTTTGCATTATATTATTTTTAATAACCTTTAGTTTTATATTTTATGTTGCTATTTTAAATTGTCTTCAATCATTTAATCTTGTGCTAGTTTCTATATATTTATCATCTTTCTGTACATCTTTAAATTTTGATCTCTGCCACTATTGCTGATAAAGGTAAATAAACTTTCTGCTTTTAGGTGATTATCCTGGAGCCCTTAAAGCTTACAGTGAATCAGTGAAACGCAACCCTGAAGATGCTAGAGTATTTAGCAATCGCGCTGCTTGTTACACTAAACTGGCTGAGTTTGGACTTGCGCTGAAAGATGTAGAAACTTGTTTAGTTCTAGATCCAAAGTTCATTAAAGCATACCTTCGCAAAGGCAATATTGCATTGCTAATGAAGGAAACAGCTAAAGCCAGAGAGGCATACGAGAAGGCTTTAGAACTAGATGAGAATTGCCAGGTACGATAAAATCACCTTTAACTAAAGCTAATATTTTTTCTATTTGTTTGTTAAATCGCGACTTAGCTTGCGATGATTAAGAACTTCTTTGTTCTCTTGTTTAATTATTTTTTGAAATGGTTTGTTAAATTAGGAAGCTAAAGATGGCATAATATCTGTTATGCGTCAAAACGCAACACTTACGCCTGAAGAACGGCGAAAGCAAGCAATGGAAGATCCTGAAGTACAAAATATTCTAAAAGATCCTGCAATGCGAATGATTTTAGAGCAGATGCAGGAGAATCCTCAAGCAGCTCAAGAGTAAGTTTCTTCGATTTTTTGTATTTTCGTTAATTTTTTATTGTATTATTAAAATATTTTTTGGTGTTCTTAAATTAATATTATTCGTGAAACTTTTTTTTTTTTTGTATTGTCATTCAGATATTTCTTTTTTTTATTATAATTTCTTTGTTACATTTATAGGCATTTACAGAATCCTTTGATTCGTGAAAAGATATCCAAACTTCTCGAGTCTGGAATTATACAAATGCGTTAATTATTTCTCTTTTTTTCTCCTGTTTCCTATTAAATTGTATCTACTACTTAATATTTCAATTTTTACGTGATTATAAGAATTAAATAATTATGTACATATACTGTATCTATTTGATTTTTTAAATAGAAGTATTTAATAATCAGTGGTATCTAAGTTTGATACATTAGCCCAGTGGCGGATCTAGGATTTTTTAGTGTTTGATTTTTGCCAACTTTTAGACACGGAGCAAACATTTGTATACATACGTCAAATAATGAGGCTTTGCAAAAAATTGCGATAGTTAGAGGCTGGAAAAGAAAAAGCCCTTTAACTTAATTCCCCTTCCCGCCCCAAACGTGAGGGGCAACAAGTTGATAAGATATTTTTCGTACTTTTTTCATCTAGACTTTTAGTTATATCTCTCAGCCTTCAAAAATTATGACCATTTAAAATTTGTAACCCCTTTAAATTGAGGGGGGTTTATATTTTATATGGTATAACTTTATATGGTCATATTTTTGTTTTTGTTAGATAAAAATAATTATGGTACTAAAATTTATATAATTTTCAGGAAGCTTACATCAACACAATTGAAAAAATTTTGAATAATAAAAACAGGGAGGAGGGGGTCATTAAAAAATATTTCAAGAAAAAATTTTAAAGTTTTTATATGATGTATCTACAAACCAAGCGAGTTTTAACAAATGAAGCATCATTTCGAACACTTATTCCCATTCCCTTAGATTATTAGCCAGTTTAAATGAGGTATATACTTTTTTAATTTTAGAGGAACCTATCCATCGGGGTTAAGTGAGACAGGTGTGGGGTGAAGTGGGACAAGAGAGTAATTAACAACATTAAAAAAATTATATTTTAAAACTACTAAAATCATAAACCACGTCTTTATCAACATATTTTAAAGGTTACCTCAATATATTTGACAAATATTAAACGAAAATTAGATGCTGAATGCCGCATCTAATTTTCCTTTATCGTTGCAATAACAATATCCCTCCTGCGAACTTGATAAACAAGTTTGAAATAAATGAAATTTCTAAATTTAAGAAACGTTTTTGGTTATAATAAGATAATTATAAGGTATTCTATTAGCTTCGTAAATATTGAAGTGATGCTGATACCGTGGTTGTTAATGGGATCAATCAATGTTTTTTTTATAAAGTTTAGCAAATTGCAAATATTTTAAAGAGTGCTCGACGTCACTAGCATATCTATTTTTTAATTTTTTTTTATTTATTTTATATCGTCAATAAACAATCATTTTACAATATTTTTTGTAAAAATTAAAAATTAAATCTTTATATTCTGACAGGAGCAAGTAGAAGACAATGCGTCTTATCACCCTGCTCCTAAGTTCGTGAAAATATCAAATAAGATTTACGTATTAAGTTCGTAAAATATACGTTATATAAGTTTTATACATATTACAAGTTTTGTACATACTATAACATATTACAGCTCATAAAATATATAAGTTATAAGATGCATATATACGTGTTAACAAATCGATATATAAATGTTTTTAAAAATATAAAAGAATGTTTTTATTATTTAAATCTAATAAGTATCGTTTAACTGCTCTTTTAAATAGTTCAATTGAAGTCATCTTTTTCATGTCTCTATTAAGGAAATAGTTCCACCAACGTGGTCCTCGACATGTAACTGAGAAGTCTGTTTTTCTAAAGGATGTTGTAGGGATGAGAAAGTAGCCAATGGAATGTCTTGTAGAGTATTTATGATTAATTAAGGTAAAATGCGGTTGAAAATATGTTGGAAGCATGTTGTTATGAATTTTAAACATAAATAACAGATTTTGATAGGTGTTTACTTTATAATTATTTAAAACATTAATTTTTTTAAGTAAAGACTCGGCGCATGCATATCTACCTGCATTCAAAATTAACCGGCTCGCTTGCTTTTGTTTGGTATTAATTTTTTTTAAAGAAGATGAATAATTACTTGCCCACACTATATTGCAATAACTAATGTGATTATGAATAAATGAAAAATACAAGCTTTTTAAGCACATTATATTCAAAAGATGCTTCGTTTTGAAAAGGATCCCAAGTGCTTTTGAAATGCTGTTTTCCACTAATTGGATTTGATTTTTCCAGTTTAAATAATCATCAAATATTATACCTAGGATTTTCATTGAATGAACTCTTTTTACTTTAATGTTGTTTATAAATAAATCAGGAAGTTTTAGGGGTATGTTATCAGTTTTCGAAGGTTTCGTGAACAGAATGTATTTAGTTTTATCGATGTTTACGGACAGTTTATTGGCTTTAAACCATTCATTGAGATTAATTAGCTCTGTGTTTACAGTAGAAAAAACAAATTTTAAATTAGACCCCGAAAAAAAAATATTAGTATCATCAGCAAAAAGAACAAAATTAAGGAATTTAGAGGATAAGTGGATGTCATTGATATATAAGAGAAACAGCAGAGGACCAAGTATTGAGCCCTGAGGGACACCGCAACTAATAACTTCTAACTGCGTACAAGTTAAATCATACGTCACTCATTGTTTACGATTTTGTAGATAAGACTCGATCCATTTTAGATTAGTATTTTGAATTCCATAATTTTTTTAATTTATAGAGAAGGATTTCGTGGTCGACAGTGTCGAATGCCTTCGATAAATCAACAAAAACTCCAAGTGTATAATTATTGTCATCAAATCCTTTCAAAATATTGCTAGCCAAATCCATCACAGCATGCTCAGTGCAATGATTTCTCCGAAATCCAAACTGTTTAGGATATAAAATATTGTTTTTATCAATGAAGTTATATATTCTATTATGCATAATACGTTCGAGAACCTTTGAAAAACAGGAGAGAATTGAGATGGGTCTGTAGTTTGATTCTAAAGAATCGTCGCCGTTTTTATATATTGGAATTATTTTAGCAAGTTTTCATTGATCAGGAAAGTCCCCGTTTTTTAATGAAAGTTTAAAAATAATGAAAAGAGGCAATTCGATAATGTCAAAGACACTTTTCAAAACATTTGCATTAATTTCATCAAGACCTGCACTTTTATTTGTCTGAAGCATGTCAAAAGCTGAACGAAGTTCATCAATGGAAAGTTCCAAATTGTCCATAATAAAATCTGATTTTTTTAAAAAAGACTGGAATGTTTTGCTACTTGGAGAGATTTCTTTGGCTAAATTTTTCCAAACATTTATTAAAAAATTATTCAGTCTCTCAGCAATTGTTTTTTTATTAAAAACTTCACCTTTATCGGTTTTCAGTCGATTAGGGAGGTTGCAAGATGTAATTTTTGTTTTCCCTATTATATTTTTAATTATAGTCCAAGTTTTTTTAGCATTTCCAAATGTTTTCTGAAGTAGACCAGAATAGAAGTTTTTTTTAGATTGCTTTTTTATTTTTTCGAAATAGTTTTTGTATTTTTTATATTTAGTTTCGTTTTCATAGTTTTTGTTTTTTAAAAATTTTTCGTAAAGCTTTTTTTTTTTTTGATGATTTCAAAAGACCTTTAGTCATCCAAGGGGTATGCAAACTTTTGGATTTTATATTTTTTCGAACTTTAGGAAAAGCTTTATCATATTGCCTTGTAAAGACGCGAATAAAGAATTCGTATGCGCTACATGTGTCATTGCAATCATTCAAAAGCTCCCAATTGATTTCTCGCAAAAGCTGTCTAAAAACTTTAATCGAGTCTTTGTTTACATGCCTTATGTATACTGTTATGGGTTTTTTATTTATACAGCACTTAGTATTTGTTGTTAAAAAAACAGGAAAATGATCACTAATATCCGTTTTTATTATACCACTGTTGATTGTCGAGTTACTATAATTATTAGTGATAATATTGTCAATAATAGATGATGTTTTTCGAGTTATACGCGTCCGCTTGTTAATCATGGGGTAAGCACTAAATTGAGAAAGAGTATTTATAAAACTTTTTACGTGGTTATCAGTGTTTAAATTTATCAAGTTTAAATTAAAGTCTCCGAGTAAATATAAATGTTTTTTAGAGGTTTGAATTAATATTCGCCTTTTCAAATTGATTGTAACTGCCATTGGGTGGTCGATATAAAACTGTTATAAACGAATTTTTTTCTTTTTGGTTTATTATCTCTATAGTTAATGATTCGCAATTCGAGTTATTCACACTTAGACTATCTACTTTTTATACGTCAACGAGTTGTGAATAAATATGCATACGCCTCCGCCAATACCGTTTTTTCTCGGTTGGTGAACAGAATTGTAATCTGTTAAATGCAAATTAGAGTTACTCATATCTTCACTCTGACACCAGGTTTCTGTAAGACAGATTATACTGAATTTAATACTTATATTATTTAGCATTAATTTTAGATTTTCAAAGTTTTTGCTCATGCTTCTAATATTTATATTTAGTAATGACATCTAATGTAGTGATTTATTTAAAATACTTGTAACCTCATGAACTTTAAAATAGTTAGTTTCTAAGGAATAATTGTCAAGAATGTTTACGTCAGGATCAATGTTTTTTGAAAAGTGACATACGTTTTAACCAGAAAATGTATTAAAAAAATTATAATTAATTATTTCCGCCATTTAAAAGACAGGAAAAAATATAGAAAAAAAAAAAAAAAAAAAAGGAAAGTTAAATAAATAAAAAATGCATTATTTTTACTTTGGAACTTTGAGTATTTTACCGCGTTTTTTAAATGAATAATTTTGTCATACCTCACTGCAAGGTTTTCTCCCCTTAGACGTCGTTCTTTAACTTCTGCAAACAACTTTTTTCTGATATCAACTGTAATTTTGGAATAATCTTCATTGACATATATATTTGAGCCTTTCAATCTATTCGTTTCTTTCAATATTTTGATTTTATCTTTATAACTTTTTAACTTCATCACGATTGATCTTGTACGATTATCTTTTTTAATCCCAGTACGATGTGCACGTTCAATGTCAATTCCCAACAAACCTAGAGTTTTCTCAAGAAATATTTTTACTTTTTCTTCCGTTTGTGTCCATGTTTCATTGTCATTTTCCGGTAACCCATCAATTCTCAAGTTATCTCTTCTTGTTCTATCTTCAATATTTCTTTGTTGATTTTTTAAGAGTTGTAAACAAGTTAATTCCT